GAATAAAAGCAAATCATGTAATCCCAGGTGCTCCGAAGACTTAAGTAGGAGGATCACAAATTACAGATCAGCCTAGCAAATTAGAGATATCCTTCCGGTCTCAAATTAAGAAGCCAGCATGGTAATACGTAACTGTAATCCCAGCACTGAGGGAGGCTAAGGCAGGACGATTACAAGTTTGAGTCCTGCCTGGGCAACTTAACAATACTCACTCTCAAAGGCAAAAATAAAAAGGGGCAGGATGTAGCTCAGTGGTAGAGCCCTTGCCTAGCAAGTGTGAGATCCTAGGCCCAATAACCGATTCTGCAAAAGAAAAAGGAAGTTGTATTTTATGTGCAACTTGTGCCTTCAGATAGGTGATGCATGAGCATCTCCAAGGTGGGCCTAAGAGTGAGAGGGATCATTTCCTTCAGCAAAAGATGTTCATTCTAGGGCCAGGGATTTAGCTTAGTGGTGCCACCACCTGCCTTGCAAGCACAAGGTCCCAAGTTCGATCCCCGGTACCCCCCAAAAAAAAAGTTCATTCTAACTCTGGGGTCTCTGGTTGCAACATCATTTCCTGCCGTGAGATGGTGAGTCTGAACTCATGGAGTGTGGGCCAGGGGTATCCTTTCACGTATGTGACCATTCACACTGATGTGGGACTCCAGATGGTAAATGAATGAAAATATTGAGAACACTATTAGTAGCTGGGCATGGTGATGCACCCCTGTAACCTCAGCACTCTGAGAGGCTGAGGCAGGAGGATCATGAGTTCAAGTCCCAGCTGGGCAACTTAGGAAGACCCGGTCTCAAAATAAAAAGGGGCTGGGGAGGTAGCTCAATGTGACAGCTCCAAATTCTAGGTGTGGTAGTGCATACCTGTACTCCCAGCACTCAGGAACCTGAGGCAGGAGGATCGCTACAAGTTCAAGGCCAGCCTAGGCTACAAAGTGAGTTCAAGGGTAGCCTGAACTACATAGTAAGACTGTCTCAAAAATAAAACAAAAACCAAAACAACAAAGGGACAGTATCTGTGAGGACACTCAACAGCAGTGTGTAGCTGCAGATGACAGGACCTCAGGATCTGTTTTTTGGTTGGGTTTAAGCGGGTTTCATACTAGACAAACACCAGCTGGTCCTATGGGACAACCCTGGGTACTGAGTGCTAACGGAAGACGTGCCGTGCCTTCTCTGGCCTGGTGTTTGAGAAGTGGCTGAGATGGAAAAATTATACAAACAGGACTGAGACAACATAATATATTTAGTAAGTTCAAGGCCAACGTGAATTACACAGAAAGGCCCTGTCTCAAAAACAACAGCAGCAGAAAACATAATGTATTGAGGGGTTAATTGGTTGTAGTGGAATGTGAAAAGTTGTTTGAGATGTTTATGACTCAGTTACCTGGGACCCACCAGACATCAAAATTCTACTAAATGCCTCTTCCAAGGGCTTCAGTTGTGAATTCTCAAAAGTGAAAAAGTATACATGAGTTACTGTAAGTAACGTCTGCAACTCTCAAGGAAATTAAGAACATTTAAGGCCTTGTGTTGTGGCTGTAGTATGTGCAGGGCATGGCAGGTATTTTTTAATCTTTTCAATCTTTTTCTCTTCTGCAGTGCTGGGTATTGCAACACAGGTCTTTGTATCCGGCAGACTCGCTAATGCTGAGCTACATCCCCAGCCTGCTTATGTAGTTTTGATTATTTTTTGTCTTTTTGGTACCAGGGATCAAACTCATGACCTTATGCTTGCGAGGTTGATTCATATTTTATGTGCCCCAAGAGATTCCCATAGGTTTTGGGTCGTTTTATTTTTCCTCTACTCTGACAAAGAAAATTCTTAGCAACTGGTCAATAGTTTATAAAACAGGTGAACAAGGGACAGAAGACAGGATCGGCCGCAGCATCCCATGCTAAGGATGACTGCACAGGTGTGCTATTTCTGGCCTCTGGTCCTTTATTAGGTACATACTAAGGGATAAAAAACAAACATGACACAGCCCCATCACGTATATGATGGAACAGTGGAGATGTCTTATAGAACACAAACTCCCATGGTTTCTTTTTTTCGGTACCGGGAATCAAACTCAGGACCCTGCGTTTGCCAGGCAGGAGTGGCACTGCTGAGCTAAATCCCCAGCCCCCTCACTGTTGTCATATAACCTAAGTCCACCAAGTCCCACAGATGTCCAAGAGATCTGGATAGAGGTGAGAGCTCCGCCAGTGCCCCGGCATCTGTCAAGAGACAGAAGACAGAAGTCACTGCTCCAACAGATGGGGTACATCAGAGGACCCAGATTTATGAAGGGGGCACCATGGTACAGAGGGTTGAGGGCTCGGTATCTATAAATTCCTACTTCCCGGACAGCCTAGTTGGTGGCCTTTCATTTGTGTTTTAATGATGTAGGACACAAAGCTAAGGGGGCATTTCCTATCATCTTTTTTTTTTTTTTTCTGCAAGTACAAGGGACTGAACGTGGTCCTTCTGCATTGAGCTTTATCTCTAGTCTTCGTAAAATTGTGAGACAGGGTCTCACCACGTCACTAAGTTGCCCAGGCTGGGTTGAAACCTTCAGTCCTTCTGTCTCAGCCTACCAGAGTGCTGGGGTTAGAGTTATGCACCATAATACCTGAGAGAAACAATTTTGATTTCACTGGATGCCTGGGGCAAATAAGGCAATCATGACTGGGAGGTGAGACGAGACACTCACAGGCAGTGCAACAAAGGAAAGGTGGAAAACCTTACTGAAAATAGTTACCTGCCAAAGGGGACAACCCTTTGAAAGGAGGGATCTGCCTCTGGGAAAGTCTGTTATGAATCAGAGCCCTGCAGGTACTACTGCCCCACAACCAGTTCGGGTGCAAGAACTCATAGCTGATAAGCTAATGTAGAAATGGATCTGGTGACGTTTTTTTGCTTCTGATCTCAGCAACAGAAAGCACTGTGTGTTTGGTTTTCTCTGTTCCTCCTAGGGAATGTGTTGCCCCAGGGAATACAAGTATGTTCCCTGTACAATTACGCACAGTGGAGAGCAAGACCACTACCTAGGCATTTTGGGCCCCTTGAACCACCAAGGCGTGGAAAGGGAGACGGTTATCTGCTTGCTGGAGTGACCGATCACAACACCCCAGGCAAACTGGATACTACTGAGACAATGGGGACCAAGTGCAGGAACCACTAGTTATATCCAAGCTGCATCATAAAGATTAATGGAAAATTACAACTGACAAAGGACAGGACAATGAAGGAGTTAAAATAAAGGGATGGGAAAGGAAGATTTAAGTCACTCAACCAGACAGAGAAACCAGAGCAGCTAAGAGTGTAGTTGAAGACAAGGGAATTATGTAACTGGTCACTGAAGAAAAGAACCCTAAATATAAATGACACCCACAAAACCAATTACAGAACCAAGAAGTGTGACAGCACTTTTTAAAAAACTGCATTGCAGGCACTTGTTTTTCTGAGTTTATATAAACTATTCATTCGCTTCTGTCACCTTCCCATTTCCACTTCACATACAACTTTGGGATCAATTTAAATTCAGTCTGCAGCTAACAGGATATTCACTGGGAATGTGATTACAGTGAACTAAACATGGATACGGTCTGGGACGGGGTAAGGTCCTCCTCTTCACTAAGGGTGAGAACTGCTCTCCTCGAATCTTCCTAGGCAGCAGTAACAGGCTGCTCGGTTATTCTAAGCGAGTTCACGTGTGCGCGGACAGGGCATGTGCGTGGGGAGAGCCCGAGTGTGCCTGCGCCACTTAGCAAGTTACTCAGCGTGGCTCCACATCACCCACCGGCTGCTGCGGGATACAGGACGGGCCCTTCCGGCGTCCGTCTTTTCCATAAGACAGTCGGCTCTGTCCGGGGAGGGCCCCGCACGACAGCTGCCGAGCGGAG